TTGGAAAGTGTTGCTCTATTAAGTGGAGCACTGATAAAGACCTGCCTGGGATTCCCGCTCAAGATGCTCTGATTGGGACCCTTTTGTAGTCGCAACTCTGAGTGGAGACAGTGATCAGAGACAGATAGAAATAAAGGGGCGAGAACAATGTTGGCCGATGGTGGTTTTGGGCTGACAATGAAGCTGCCCTTAATGAGAATCATCACAGACCCGGAAGGCATTTTCATACAAAACCATGGATAACTTCATCACATCCAGAGCACAATGTTGGAGTTGGCTTTGTGCCATTCTTTCAGTTCCAGCTCTGATTACTTTTAGATAATTTAAGATGGCTATTTTCTGTGGATAATGTGGCCCGATATACCTCATTAATATATTTGAACCATTGCTCTGCTTTGAGAGTGAACATTTGATTCAAACTGTGGTTTCAAATTCTCCCTTTTCCAAGAAGTAGATTTAGACAGTTTCACTCAGGCTTCACAGGTGGTGACTATTGATTTAGAAATCAATACAAAGTGAAGGGAAAGATGGTGGGGAAATGCCTTGGAATTGAAGGAGCCAGTCAGCTGTCTTCAGTGACTGATACATGTGTAGAACATTTGATTTTTAGTTTTACACATGTGAAATATGTTTTCACATACCAAAAAGCATTTTCTAATCTTTCTTTTGTTGTGGCTGTAATCTTGCTCTTTAATGTGAACGGCGTTTTCGTTTTTCTGGTTAGATTATAAGGGTCCAATCAAACATTTTGTGCCCAAGCTTGATTGAACAGTCCTATACTAATGTAATCATACTGTACATCTGTTTGTTTGCATGTGCTGCAGAAGTGCAAGCACTCTAGCACCAAGTCTGGCATAAAGTGGAAGCGATAAGGTAACAAGAGACAGCAGAGTTCATGACATGTGTCGCTGTCCACGATGCATCATCCTGATAATAACATGTGGATAACTAGTTTGGTTCTTTGGAGCGTAAACAAACGATACAAAAAAGGTGACAGTAGTGTCTGTGATCAGTGCACTCAGTGAGTGGTTACAGCAGATCCCTGGAACAACCTCTGAAATCTCAATCCAGATTTTCTTTTTTTGTGAAACATCAGCAAAAAGAAGAAGACAATTATGAGGTGAAAGAAGAAGGATACATGTTTTCTTGAAAAAGTAGTTTTCTCTTATTGCGACCAATTTCCTTAAGAAGTTGCCTGATGAAAGGTCAAATATTTAAAAAAATATGTGCACTGTCCTATCTATATTGACCAAACTATTAAGTGTAATAATCTAACCTCAGGATGATTACAGCTGTCCGTTTGTGGCTTCAGAGGTTTGATCAGAGAATATTGGTCATTAAACATAAACAAGCCATAAGTTTATATAAAGAACACATCAGACAAAAAAAAAAGGATGTGGTGATGATCCAGGACACTTTAACATTCTACAACATGTATGACATTTATCAACATGTGTTCTATATTCTTTATGTGTTTTAACTGTTGGTTCTCTGATCTGTGTTGGTGATTTCAATGGTTTTGTTAAATCCTCTGAGATGACTTCTGTTGTGATTTAGGGCTATACAAGAATACATTGTATTGTATTGTATTGTATTGTATCAGACATGTCAGAGATGAAGTTGGGGAGAAGTTTAAAGCATGGTTAGATCATACAAAGATTATAAAGACCCCTCACATTATGTTCTTCAGTCACTATATACTAAAACCATACCTACAAAGTTTGCTTTAGCATCTACCTATATTCATTATCAAGTCCAATACAATAAAACAAAAATATATAACCACTGCCTTTCATTTTCCACCTATCAATGTGTCAGCAAATGCCTTGTTTTGGAACAGCCACCACCTCCTGCACGAGCTCAAAGAAAGAGGTCAAGTGTAAGCTAAAGATAATCACATGAATAAAATGCAGCTGGTAGCTCATTACCGACCCTATTATTCATTAATTAACATTATTAAAACCACTAATAGGTCCTGGCACTCCTCTCCAAGCCCCCTGCCTCTTTTCAACTAGATCCCTGGCTCTTCCCGACCCTCCCGTTTCCTCCACATGAAAAGAATAGCACATCAAACATGAAGCTGCTTTTGGGGATTTGCAGGTGCACAATCCCAGGGTACGAACAGGGGCCTCGGCATCGCTCCGGCCCAAGATGCTCTGACTGTGACATGCGCCGCAGACCCGCGCTATTACAAACCCCTCATTAGTTGTGGGGAAGTGTAGAGAAGCAGACTTGGTAATTAGGTCCCTATCTAGAAAGTTTGTGCCTTCATCAGAGTCAGCGAGAATGCTGACGTTTATGGGAGCAAGTTTAATCATCACAAAAGCAGGAAAGTTTTGCGTCTTTCATTTGCAAAGAAAACACATTTCCTTATAATCTTTTACTGCAATGGAGACTATGAGGGCACAACATATTTGTTTTGTTTTTCAGCAGCCATTTGAAGTTATGCATATTCATGTAACAGAAATGCACACATATAGCAGATTAATCAGATTATATCTACAATGACTAATATTCAACTGAAGGAATAATATCTATCAAAAGTTTTTTCATTGCATTTTGTGGGAGTCAGATATATTAAACATGCATAATATATGGTTTACAAAGAAGTCAGGAATCTAATGATTACCATGAATATTCAAATGTCCAAACAGCACACCTTCATTAATTCTATAATTTAGATACAATCTGTTTAGTGCTTACACAAGTACAAGCATTATTTCCTGCTCATTATTTTCAAATAAACACAAAGCACAACAGAGGAGTCCATGGAGAGCAAAATGATAAATATGGGGGATATTCTCCTCGATATTAGCACAGTTTAAAATACATCCTCTGATTACTTTTCCCGTTTGAAGCACTTGACGTTAGTGGCGCCATGACCTTAAACAAGATTTTATTGCAACACAATATCCATAACATTAACAGGCTCTTTTATCATTCTGCAAGGGACAGTGGCTCCTCGCATCCTTTAAGGGAGTCTTTGCTCTTGAAATTGCATTAATATTTCTATTTGTGGCACCACATTCATATGTAAGGCAATACACCGCCATGCATATTGTATAACGGTAAAACAAATATTTTGTCTCAGAATATTTGATCTTGTAATCACATTTTTTATCTGAATTAATATTGAAAATGATTCTTCGTACAAATAGAGGTATAGAACATGTATGAGGAAAGTTATTGATCATCAAAATGGAGACTTTCTTCACATATTGAATGAAAGCTCAAAACAGTGGCGCCGCACGTTCATAAACATTCTTCATTCAGTCATCTCCCTTATTTCCAGTTCTCTCTTCTCGTGATTAAATCCGCAGCTCCCTGTAGGATTATTAGGATTCTAATTCAATCTGAATTTCAGGAACTTGTTTGCTTGGTTACCTGTCACAGTGTATCAGCTTGTCATATTAGTGGTGTTCGTTTTCTCTACCTAATCGGCTTTAAACAATTTCATTGGGTGCGGGTCTATAAATCATTCCGTAATGGGACTGACACGCACGAGCTTAGCTAGGTAAACAAATCAGCTTTGTTTTATGTTAGGCAGCAATGAACTTGGCTTTATCAACTTCCCATTGATTTGCACACACCACAAGGTCAAAATCTCTCTGGCTGCTCATCAGCGGGAGTAGGGTCAGCACTTAGCAATTAGAATATGTATCAGAGACAGAAAATAACGCTATCACACACTGTCTTCTCCATAGCAACTAGTGCGAGTATGAAAGATTTCATGGACAAATTAAAGCTGGTCATTGAAATGTTGAGGTTTCCACATATTTTCTTTGGAATCAATGTTGTGACTTACAACAGCCCATTAAAGAGGCAGACAGAGTGGCTACTGATTAAAGCCCTACTGTGTAACTTTTTGAAAACGGATTATATAACAAAAGCACATTTTTGCCTTTCAAGTTAAGAAATCTCCATAAGCTAATGCACATGCATTTATTTATTTCAGGGACAGGGCATATTTATGTACATTTCTGTAAATATGACACAGGTGATGGGGAATATTGTAAAGGAGGGTTGTCAAGTATTATTCCTAAATAGTATTTCTTTGGCAAAACTGCCTCCATTATGTAAAAAATACAAAGTATAACCACATACACAACTTTCCACAATGATAAATGCTAGATATCTCAGTATAAAATATCACTCTAAAAATAGTTACCATTAGGGCAGAACATTCAACACGTGATGGATCCAAGGGCAATCATAAAAATACGTGCAAATGTATGAGCAATACTGTACACAATGTTAGAGCAATACTGTACACAGGTTACATCAGCTATACCATTTATCTTACACTTTGTCCAGCAAGGATAGAACAAGCTACCAGTAGTAACATATGAGACCTAAGAATTCAAAACAAACTATGAAACTGAGGGGGACAAATGTCGGGGGGCTGACCTCTTCCTAAACCTGTCGTATAATCTACTCGCACCAATAGATCTCTCTAATGCAGGCAATTTCCTGCAGCATTTCAACCTAAAACTGCAATGACTGGGCAATTGTCACAGCTGTCAGCTGTTCACTACCAAGTAAAGCTGCAGTCGAGGTTTAAACTGTGTCTCGGTTGTAAAGGGTCTGTTATAAATGCAGGTGAATGAGCTCAGATGTATATGTATATATCTGCCGTGTTGGAGCATCTGGTTAAACCCAGGTGTTTCTCCTGTGATGTGCTTTGAAATGTTGGATATTTGGGTGCAGTATATTGAGAGAAACTTTCACAACTTAAAAACAATCCAAATCACAACTGGCGGGTTGCGAATAATCTTCCCAATTATCCATATTGTTGTTTGAATGTGTGATAGGAGCCACATAGTCTTGTGATTATTGCACCCCCGAAAACCAAATGTGCCAAAGTGTTGACAAAAGGAGGTAAACAAGAAGGGGGAGACCTGAGCTAATCCCCCAGAGGTGTGGAGGGGAACCACAGCCCAAACCGCTCAGCTGCAGCACAGCACTGCTTTAAGGTGGAGCTCAGGAGAGACTGACAGCAATTACAGCACGCTCTTTCTTCGCCTCTCTGAGCTGCAGCTCGGCGAGAGCCACTCGATGGAAACCACCAGAAAGAACTGGAACAACCCCTCCTCTGCTTCCTGTCTCACTTTGAGAGAGACATTTACCTCAGCTCTTTGTGCACGCCTGATTGTTTACTTTGAGTGATGTGCCATTATGACAGTTCAACAAATCAATGTTACACAGGTTTGCAGCAGATGCCTGGATTCTAGAGTACTCATGTAAATTATTAATCCTTTTAGGGGAAGTTTCACCAACAGATCTCTACCTGACAGTTATACTGCTGTGCCAAAACGTTTGACAGCCCGCTCTACTTTAGATTTGGGACTGAGTTGGATTTAGGGGTTGATCTCAGATTGTCGTTATGCCTTTCACACATTAACACACGCAGCGTATAATTTTCTTTCATTTTCTTTTAGATACTCACAGCTCGACAAAGTGATCATTGATGGAACACTAGGGAAAAACTCAATATTGACCCTTCTAGTCGTTTAAATCTGAAATGCCTCCTTCAGTGCTGGGGTGTATTTGCCATTTTCATGCCCTGAGTCCCGCCCCCTGCCTTTCCTGCTGGTGGTCATCGACAGGATCACGAGGTGAAGGCGAATCACAGTGCTACACATATTACTCTCTGTCTGCTCCACAGTGGTGTGCGGGCGCCTGACAGCACCTGTCTGGCCTAACCAGGGTGGAAAGTGACTCTAATTGTCATATTCACAGACAAGGTACTGCAGCCATCCTCGAAACACACAAAAATATACTTAGCTACTTTATCATATAGACAGAACCCAGGCTCCGCAAGAAACCTTATTGACGCAGACTTTTATGCAAAGACAGACTTTTGATTTGGCAGGCTATAGCGGCAGACTTGCATACATAACATGTACATAATGAGTGATGAGCTTTAATGTAGGGTTTGAGAAACAAGTGTGTGACAGCTAAGGTTTGGGAGTTAAAGAAGAATATACTGTACGTGATTATATGATATATATATATATATATATATGTATTAGTGCTGTCCAAAATATTGCGTTATTAACGCGTTAACGCAAATCAATATTAACGGCGTCATTTTTTTTTATCGCGCGATGTATATATATATATACATATATATATATATATATATATATATATATATATATATTTTTTTTTTTTTTTTACTTTTTATTGCAGACAAACACATATACAGAAAAAAAAATAGAAACAAAGAAAAGGACTAGTTCAGATACATTGTAGACAGAGATTACAAACAATATGTAGTTGGCGATACAGGGGGCTAAAGAAGAAACCCAGAAGGGCACATAGGAGAAGTGTTGTGCGTGAACGAGTTCAAAAGAACGCGTTCAAAAGAACGCGTTCATTGAACACGCTCATTTTTTCGTGAACATTGAACTGAACGCAACACATAAAAAAAAAAAAAGAACTTGATCGTGAATTAGTTCATTTTATGTGTCATGAACGGCAGACATCACTATGAACGTTGGAATCTGTTTTCTCTTTTAAAACGCAACGAGAGAAAGTTCCTCCCTCCTGTATTCTCGCACTTTTTCCGCCGAAATCTAAAAATTCCTACGGTTTCCACCGTCTGTGAACGCACCCCGACTCTGTGTTGCGGTGCGGCGCTGTGAGCTGGTGCTTTTCACATGTGCCCGAGTCGTGATGAAAACACAGGGTGAGTTAGCGACAAAGTTTACTCCGTTTACATTTTACATAAAGTATAGACACACGCACTGCAGCGCATTACTGTTTTGCTCCCATTGAAAACCATGTAAATCTTGTCTGTTTTGTAGTCAAAAGGCTCTCCTCCTGTGGGTGTACAGGAGATATATATATATATATAAAACTAATCCACTCACCTTTGGCCCTCCGCGGGCGGTTATCCCTCTCTAAGCTCGGGTCCTCTACCAGAGGCCAGGGAGCTTGAGGGTTCTGCGCAGTATCTTTGCTGTTCCTAGCACTGCACATTTCTGGACCGAGATGTCCGAGGTTGTTCCGGGGATCCGCTGTAACCACTCATCTAGCTTCGGGGTCACTGCCCCGAGTGCACCGATCACCACGGGCACTACTGTCACCTTTACCCTCCAGGCCCTCTCCAGCTCCTCTCTGAGACCTTGGTATTTCTCAAGCTTTTCATGTTCTTTTTTCCGGATGTTACCATCGCTTGGAATTGCCACGTCCACCACCACGGCTGTCCTCTGCCCTTTGTCTACCACCACGATGTCAGGTTGGTTTGCCATTACCATTCGGTCGGTCTGTATCTGGAAGTCCCACAGGATCTTCGCACGCTCATTTTCCACCACCTTTGGAGGAGTTTCCCACTTAGACCTTGGGGTTTCCAGCCCATACTCTCCACAGATGTTTCTGTACACTATGCCAGCCACTTGGTTATGGCGTTCCATGTAGGCCTTCCCTGCCAGCATCTTGCACCCTGCAGTTATGCGTTGGATCGTCTCAGGTGCCTCTTTGCACAACCGACACCTTGGGTCTTGTCTGGTGTGGTATATCTGGGCCTCTATCGCTCTGGTGCTCAGTGCCTGTTCCTGTGCAGCCATGATGAGTGCCTCTGTGCTGTCCTGTAGGCCAGCCCTTTCTAGCCATTGGTAGGACTTCTTGAGATCAGCCACTTCTGTTATGCTCCGGTGGTACATGCCGTGTAGGGGCTTGTTCTCCCATGATGGGCTCTCCTCCAGCACCTCCTCATCTCGCCACTGCCTGAGACATTCACTGAGTACGTCATCCGTTTTGGCCTTCTCCATGATGTAGTTATGGAGTTTGGATGTTTCGTCCTGGACAGTGGCTCTCACACTCACTAGTCCTCGGCCTCCTTCTTTACGGCTTACGTACAGTCTCAGGGTGCTGGATTTGGGATGGAACCCGCCATGCATGGTAAGGAGCTTTCGAGTTTTAACATCCGTGGTCTGAATCTCTTCCTTTGGCCACCTGATTATTCCTGCAGGGTATCTGATCACTGGCAGGGCGTAGCTGTTAATTGCCCGGGCCTTGTTCTTGCCATTGAGCCGGCTTCTTAGGACCTGCCTTACTCGCTGGAGGTATTTGGCAGTTGCCGCTTTCCTCGTCACCTGTTCGAGGTTGCCATTTGCCTGTGGTATACCGAGATACTTGTAACTGTCCTCAACGTCTGCTATTGTTCCCTCCGGGAGTGAGATCCCTTCTGTGTGGACTACCTTGCCTCTCCGAGTCACCATCCTGCTACATTTCTCGAGCCCGAATGACATCCCGATGTCATGGCTGTAGATCCTGGTTGTTTGGATCAGAGAGTCGATGTCTCTCTCGCTCTTGGCGTACAGCTTGATGTCATCCATGTAGAGGAGGTGACTGATCTTTGCTCCGTTCCTGAGGCGGTATCCATAGCCAGTCTGGTCAATTACTTGGCTTAGAGGGTTGAGGCCTATGCAGAACAGTAGTGGGGACAGAGCATCTCCTTGGTAGATACCACATTTGATGGTCACTTGTGCGAGCGGCTTGCCATTTGCCTCAAGGGTAGTCTTCCACATTCCCATCGAGTTTGCAACGAAGTCCCTTAGAGCCCTGTTGATATTGTACAACTTCAAGCATTCCATGATCCATGTGTGTGGCATTGAGTCGTAGGCTTTCTGGTAATCAATCCAGGCTGTGCACAGGTTGGTGTGTCGTGACCGGCAGTCTTGGGCGACTGTTCTGTCAACCAGGAGCTGGTGTTTGGCTCCTCTGGTGTCCCTACCAATGCCCTTCTTGTGCTGTGCTCATGAATTGTTCCATATGCCCACTTATCTTAGCCGCAATGATGCCTGACATGAGCTTCCATGTTGTGGAGAGACAGGTTATTGGCCGGTAGTTGGAGGGGACTGCACCCTTGACAGGGTCCTTCATGATCAGGACCGTTCGCCCTTCGGTTAGCCATTCTGGGTGAGTCCCATCTCTCAGCAGCTGGTTCATTTGTGCTGCTAGGCGCTCATGGAGTGATGTGAGTGTCCTTAGCCAGTAGGCATGGACCATATCAGGGCCAGGTGCTGTCCAGTTTTTCATACCTGAGACTCTTTCTCGGATGTCTGCCTCTGTGATGGTAACTGAGTTCTGTTCTAGGAGGTGGCTGTGCTCCTCTCTCAGGGACACCAGCCATTGTGCACTTCTGTTATGTGCTGCATCCTTCTCCCATATGTTCCTCCAGAACTGTTCAGTTTCCAGCCTCGGTGGATCTGCTCCCCTATTGTTACCCTGCCACTGAGCGTACACCTTCGCAGGTTGTGTTGCGAACAGCCTGTTCACCCTTCTGGCTTCATTCTCTTTAGTGTACCTCTGTAGGCGGCTGGCCAGGGCTTGGAGCCTTTGTTTGGCAGTTTCGAGTGCTTCAGGTATGGTCATCTGGCTGTACTTTCTGGGTACTGGTCTTTTCATTGCACCTCTCTGGGCCTCTGTTAATTGACTCACTTCTCTCCGAGCCGCCTTGATCTTAGCCTCCAACCGTCTTTTCCATGGTGGGTATTGTCCATGGCTCCCATGGTTGCTCTTATAGCCAAGCATCTCTAGGATCACTGCTGCTGAAGTGTATATCAGCTCATTGGTTTCAGTGATTGTGGTGGTAGGTATTGCCCTCACTGCTGCATTCACGCTTTCTATGAGATCCTTAGGTGGTACTTCACACAACCGCTGTAACCGGTGTCTTTGCCCTGTGCCCATTCTAGCCATGATCTTAGCTTTCAGGTCAGTCGCTGCCTCGTTCAGCGTTATCGGTTCCATTGGGGCTATGTACCCAATATCTGGTTGGGGAGTTGCAGTTGGTGGGATCTCCCCTCTGACCTCGGCAACTGTGGCATCATATATGTGTTGTACTTCATCAATCTCAAGCTGTGATAGCAGTTGCCGTTTGTGGATGTTGGAGCATTGAGCTACCAGTTGTTTCGGGGTCAACTGTGACTGTGGGTTTCGAAGTAACCATTCAGCCCACATTCTCTGCATGTAACCTCTTTGGCCAGGGTTACTCGAGTAGTAGCATTCCAACAGAGCCCTGTTATCGCATCTCGTCCACTTTCGCCTTGTTCCAGTAGCCCACTTTTCATCAAGGTGCTCTGGTTCCCCAGCACCTGACGCAGACCTTGTTTGGCCGGGCGACGGCTGATCCGGCATCTCATTGCTTATTTGTACCTTCATGGTTATGAGTTAGGCAGTAGCATTAAGGGTCTTGCCCAAGGACCCTCACTGGATGTTGGTGTTAATGTGCTCCCGGTGGGATTCGAACCCTGGCCTCCCAGGTCCCAGTCCTGTGCCAATATATATATATATATATATATATATAGCTCGTAGTGTGAAAAAAATATGTATTTATCTCACGAAAAAAGTAAAATGAACTGAACTTTGAACTACTTCAGAAAAGCTGTGAACTGGCACAACACTGGACATGAAGTGGGAGATGGGAGGGAGGGGTTAATAAAAAAGGCAATACAAGCAAACAGTATACAGTCATAGATATACCGAAAGTAAACAGAGAAACAGCATAGAGTATTTACATGAACAAATTTACAAAATATTTACAGATTGTTTATCATCATAATGACACCATGATGTTTCTATACAGTCTATGGTCTATACCCACACATACACACACACACACACCCACACAAATGTGTGACTAATTTGCGATTAATCGCGAGTTAACTATGAAATTCATGCGATTAATCGCGATTAAATATTTTAATCGTTGGACAGCACTAATATGTATACATGTATCTCGCAAACACAATATTTTACAATAAAAAAATACAGTTTTCATTATACCATGGTCAGTGAAATTTCGAAAATTGGTCTACTTTGTGGATCAAAAGCAAATTTGTTACTTGTTACTCATAAACGAAACAATTATATGTATAAACATACGTTACACAATTTGAGTGAAAGTTAAATATTTTCCTTCTTGTTTACAATGTTTGAGAAATGAGCCAGTGACAAGAGGCCTTTGATCGGATATGGTGCATATAGACTGGGACCAGAGGGATCTGTCCAGTGTCATCATAGCGTAGTCCGTGTTCTCTGCCATATACACACCTGAGCCTGAGCCTGGCAGGTGTGCAGGTGAAGACTTTTCAGAAAGACTTTGACGTGTTAAATTCAACACAAAATAAAATAGAGAAAATGTACACCTTTACTTTGAAATGTATCCTCGTTTGGGGAAATATCTGTTTCTCATTCAATGTTATTTACACACTAAATTTAAGGCTTTGCAAATGTTGGTGCAGTTTCCTATCAACAGCTCACTTTGGCGTCTTTGTTTCTTTGTGTTTCATGTTTGCTCCTGGCCCCAAACTTGAACCTGTGTTCTTTTGTATGAGACTCAGACAACCTTTGAATGCTGCCTGTAAACGCCTGTGGGCCCGTGAATGTGCAGCGGAGGAAAAGGGAAAGTTAAGCTGTCCTATTGAATTGATTGAACATTCATGAAACTAAAGTGCGGCCCTCCCCCTCCCGGCTCACATGTGGAAATGACTTCCAGACACATGGTGCACAGCCGTGAGGATCCCTACCTTACAGTCAGGTGCTGAGCTACTGCCCTAAAGGCACAATTCACTTGTTAAATCTCAACTACCAGGTTTCATTTTACCACCGTGTATGCATGCATAGTTTTTTTCAATCAATTGTGCAATTATTATACAAACTACCTTTTTTGTATTTAGCATATTCTTAAATCTGCATAAAAATAATCAAACATGCACGCACATGTGTTTGTGAGAAGTCTATGGTAAAAAATCAAGGTATTATTGGTTTAGTGTTTTTACAGGCATATTGTCACTATGCAGGTTGCTTGATAATGTGGAGGGACTGTAGAGAAAAAATACTTGATCCTCAAGAAAAAAAAAAAGATCTTCAATACCAATTTTGCTTACATGGTTGAAACATGGTGATTATTTATAAATTCTTCCTTTGGACAATAATAATATTTTTTTGTTACTATATATAATTATACCTTTATAGGG